GCGCTCTGCGACGAAATGTCGTGCTAACCTTTTTAATGGTGGTGATGCCAAAACACTAACAATCACGTCTGCAGTCGCGGCGATCTGGCAAAAGTGGTGGCGCTTACGGAGGGCTTATTATATCATAGGGCCAGAGTGCCTGATCTTTAACACATGCCCAAAACCGTATTGACGTACATTCACGAAGACTGGATTTGTCGTCGGCTTGTATGACGTTTACACGCATTGACATGCGCGACTTCGGTCAAAGTTTGTGCTTACGCACTGCCAAGGGGCCAAGCCCTCTTTATGCTGGTAAAACAGCTTTGCAATGGACTTCGGTCCTTTCCCCAACTTTTTGTCCCTCTTCTGGGGGGGGGGGGCGCAATATGTTGGTTGGCGCTCACCGCACACGGCGTTGGTGAGTGTTTTCATGGAGCCGTGTGCCTTCCCTACATTTTTTAAAATGTGGGGGAGCTGTTGCCTTGTATCGGGTATGTAAAATTGATGTGAGCCCTTTTCAAGAGAGAAGGGATATTAATTAAAAATTATATTGTGAGCCCTTTACAAGCGTGAGAGGGAGTATACTATATACTCTGAGCCCGTCTCAAGCGAGTCGGGATTAGTTAATAAGAAAGCAATCTAGCATTATCTCTGGCTTATACCACAACTAGTGAATATTTATCTATCCAAGATCCACCTAAAAGAATCAAGTTACTAAATAAACACAAACGTAAATGAGGTCCTACCGAATATGACGATCACAATAATATTTATACGGCTAATTATTACCTTTAGAAAGATCCTATAGAAAGATCAATAAATTATCCTGGTCACGTAATGATGTTATATGATTTATTCATATAACGGGGCAAAGAAATATATAATTTTATATAATTATATATGCATGAAGGGGGGTGCGAGTTACACTGTACTTACACTCCATGATCCCTTCTTACTTTCACTACAACTTATCATTTATCACTTTCCCTTTTCATCACTTTCTTCCCATTCCCACTTTGAGTTTCAACACTGGTATACTGTCTAGCGTGCCCCAAGCCTCTTCTGTTGACTAAATTTTGATTGCCTCGTTCTTTGCTCAGAAAGGTCATTTTGCAATAGATGTGCTGGAAGATGAAAGGACAGTTACTGCAGACTGGTATGCTAACTGATGTCTACTTGTCATGGAAAATATTTGACAGCAACGGTCTCGAGGCCCCGACAAATATTTAGCGCACTCCGCAAGACGATCAAATGAATATTTGATTATGGCAGGTGTCTAGATAATATCATCGGCCATATAGCTTAAATATTGTTATCTTTCTGCTGCCGTTTTTTGAACTTTCATTGTGATCCACGTATATTACCAAAACTCCCACCAATGTAACAAATTTGCATAGCATATTCGCAACAAGCGGTCCAGTGTATTCACAGCCTTATGAACGGGCGCTATTTCAATCAACCCTAAGGTCCAAATGGGACACATTGGCGCCTTTCAAACTTCGGCCATACGCTCATTGATTGCCAGCGAGCGATGTGTTACATATTGGAGTCAAACTCGAATTGGCACGACGCGACTATTCAATTATGTTCGTTTAAAACACGGCTCACATTCTATTTTCATATGTTCAAAGGTCAAAGATCAAAACATTAACAGTTTAAAAGTTTATTTTACGTGAAACTAGCGACCCGTCCAGGTTTCGCACGGGTGCAATGTATTATACCTACATATAAACCTCTTGAATCACTCTATCTAGTAAAAAAAAAGCATCAAGATCCGTTGCGTAGTTTTAAAGATCTAAACATACATAGGGACAGACATACAGCGGGACGACTTTGTTTTTGTGCTATGCAGTGAAGTTGTCAAGCGAGCAAGTGGATCACGTGTTAAGTGGAAACCGCCGTCTATAGACGTCTGCAACACCCGAGAGTTTGTAGATACGTTTTTTTTTATATGAGAAGGTGGCAAGCGAGCTGACGGTTCACCTGATGGTAACTGACAACCGCCGCCATGGACATATGCATAGGGTTGTAGATGCGTTGCCTCCCTATAATAAAGTGGGCCCCGGCCACTTTATTATACTCACTCACCAGACGAAACGCAGTATAACACTTCCACTTTACACCGGTCTTCTGTGAGGTCGTGGTACTTTCATTACTTGAATAATATTTCTAGAATAAATGAAACTTTATGCAGTTTCATTTATTACCGTTTTAAGTTAAATTTAGGTGCATGGTGAGTGCAGTGATTAAATTAAATGAAAACAAAACTTTAGTCCGATATTATTTCGCAGTTGAAAGAAAAGCGCAAGGAACTTTATACCTGACGGGGATTCCCCGGCTGCACAAATTATTCTCTAGCGAATTTTATTGACTTACATATATGTATATGGATATATACCAGCAGCTGGGCCGATCTCAGAATTTATTTCTAAGATATTTGGTCATATAATAATAAAAATAAAAACGTTATTTATTTTATGGCTCACTAGTTTTAATCCTCTTTAAGTGGCATGAATTTACGTGGTAAAAATAGTCCCAATAATATAATAATCAACTTTGTATTAACGATAAAGTTCTAAAATTTGTAGGAAAATAAACGAAAAGTTGTTCGCCGCAGTGAGGATTCGAAACTGTGTTCTACATGATATGCGCCCGACACTTTAGTGTCTGAGCTAAACAGCCTATCATCGCACCAAAGAAAATCTCAGTGTATTTTATATATTTTGCGAAAGCGAAAAAACAAACCATTTGTCAACAAATTTTAAAATTTGGTCTTTCATATGCAAATAATAGTACGAGAAAAAATTAATATCCTTAAATAACGTAGATTAAGTTTTAATGACTTTATAATATTTTTACGGAATCATATTCAAGAGAGGACACAATAAAAGAAAATCTCAAATGATCGTTTATGTTCTAAGTCAAGTTCAGTATTTTTTTAATTTTACCTTCAACGACATACTATCTTTCTGACAAGGATCAGAATTTTAATACTGTTTTAGCACAATAAACAAAATACCTTTTTTTCTACTTTTACATTACTTTCTCGATATTTAAGAACTGAAATACCTGATTACTTCAAATAATACCCTTATTTATTTGTAGCTATTTCGCCCTTTATCTTAATTAAATCATTTAATTTAATTGAAGTCTTATCGTCAGACCGAATATCTAAAATTATTAACAGAAAATTGAGCTACTGAATTTTACTTAAGTTGTTCTTTCAACAAAAAAAGTAGGTCGGTAAGCCAAACATTACCATGCTTACACATTTAAATAAACAGATATATTATTAACAACACGCAACAAACCACCGATTACTGCATTATTAAGTAGTTACCACCTGATCAAGATTAAATATTACGGATTTCGAAACCCCAAAACAAACTTAATATTGTATAAAAACTCGTATACTTATAAAACTAGTAAAAGTCACAATAAGTTTACATGTAGGATACTTATATGAGTAACTTGTTGTTTCACAGTACAATTCCTTCGTGAAACCGGATTGCATCTTCTGTAAATTCAGCGCAATGTTACCGATTGCTTGAAATAGCACCTGCTGCCTGCTTCTTCTCTAACTGTTCAATCTACAGGTGAGGGTCTCCACTTGAAAGCGTGTCAGCAACTATGTTGTTGTTGCCTGCAATAAGTTGAATATCAGTTTTAAACTGGAATATAATAATATGTAAGTGCAATAAAAATAACGAAATTATAGGTTTATTATTTATCGATAAACACAACAAAATATTTAAGCTCGACCATTAATATCATGTATTTAATTGCTTCGTATATGCTGAAAACCTCGTAGAACAGAGAAAACCCCATGAAACATTTATAAGCTAATTATCTGTAGGACAGAGTCAATGCTATGCGTGTCCTCCTTTGCACTAGATTGTGCATAAAATTTAAATAAATCCCATTATCGGATGCATCTTTTCCTTTTGTGGAGTAGATTTAGTTAATTTGGCGTAGTTGTTCTGAACTCCGTGCTCAGGTGCTAGGTATGCCGGTGTAAAAAAACTAGCGTAAACAGTACCAGGGAATCGAATTTAGAGCAAACTATTTAGATAAAAAACAAAACGTATGATTTCGGCATTTGTTAAAGTTACCAACATAATTTTGAATCCTTGAGATAATTTATTCTTTATTTTTTTTGTATTTTTTAATCTTCTAAATGACCATAAGTTAAATAAATAATTGCGTAATAAGGTTACCCGAAACAGTAATATTTATTTTGAATTACTTTTTTTAACGCTCGATAATAGGGTTCTTTGCTTACGTTAGTAAAGATAGAGCTTATTTTTGACTGATTAAAGCTTAATTTAAAAAAAATTTTGAATTACTTTTTTTTGATAATAGGGTTCTGATTGCTAAAAAAAAAAAAACATCTAAATGTAAATGTTCCAATTCCAACCAAAGAAAGGTTCAATTCCATACCGGGTCTCCAAAAGGAGGCCTGGACATAACTAATACCTATAGGTATTTTGATACTGGGTTTTAGCACGGGGTATACGGCGATACCCGTACCTTTGAGACCGGGTATAGAATGTTGCAGGTATATCTCATGCCTACTTGTAACTCCACCGCCCGCGCCACCCTTGCTATGGAATCGTAAATCTTTCGTTAACAGGTGTCGCGTAGACGCAATAGAGCAGACTGCGTCATCGTGCACTAGCTGGTGTTCTCCTGGGTCCGAGCAAGGTTCTTTTCCTGTGAGTACAAAAAACTACACTAGAAAAAATCGATACCTATCCGAATTCCTTTACTAAATTCTTTATTAATATTTCCCTTCCCTACAGATACGTCAACTGTCAAATCTGTTTTACGTCATAACGTCACTTTTATTGTCATCAAGCGTCATGGTGTTGGTATAGCGTTAGTTTATTACTACTTGTATCAATATTACAGAAGAATTAGCTTAATCCTTCACCGCCATGTTAATATTTTTTTATCCTTGCTAATGTTATTCTACAAAGATTATTTATTGTATTAGTTATTGTTAAGGCTAACCAAACATGAGCAAACCGCATCCGTTAGCGGGGTTAATCGCTAATTACGGCGATTCCGATGATGATTCGGACGACGGGATAGTGCATACACCCTGTGCAGTTGTAAATAAGGGGACTAATAAATGTCCATCAGCACCAGGGCAAGAAATTACGCCTTCAAACGTGGCTGGCATTCATCCGGCACCAATACCGCACTGCCGTAAGTTTCATATTTCCGTCTTTACTTCATTTCCATGTACTAAACAATGATTGTTGCTGACATAAATGACGCGTAAAACACTCGCAAAGAATATTCCGTTCGCAATTAGTTTTAAGAATGTGAATGATTATGATCATGTACTGGTGTAACACCATGGCCATGATATATTATATTATATGCTTTATTGAACACTATAAACATATGTAAGAAATGTTACAAAAATAACTTATAAGGTAGTAACAATAAGGCATCTTATTGCTAAAAAGCAATCTCTTCCAGACAACCTTGTGGCTAAAAGTACAATATTTTGAACAACGGTAGGTGGTGCAAATGATAAACTTACATACGAATTTCTAACTAAACTGAATGAATATATTATATTTTGTAAAATAATAATGTACTAATATATACCAATTAATAATATACAATAGACATACATAAAACTAAACATATACTGTACAATAACTTACAAAAATATATATGGTGAGAGAGAAATATAAATAAATATACAAATGTCAATCAGTGTCAACACAGTGACAGATAGTAATTGTAAAACGTGATAGTTTATAGTTTAACTTAATTTTTTTTTTTTTTTTTTCACGATTTATCATGATCACAATTTTCTGCCAGGATACGAACCAACGTCTAATGCACTGGGTACACGCCTAAACTATCTATCCCATAAATACCAAAAAAAAATCTTTCACAAGAGCATGAACGCTGTAAAGGGTTCAAAACGTCGGGAATTAAAAATGAAATTAAAATGTGGTAAAACCTGTATGATAGTTTTATTTAAACATTTAAGTTTCATATTTAGTGTAGAGACTTGAATTAAAAATAAAATTAATCATGATATTAAGCATATTATCTGTTTGTGGTATTAATTTTAAAGTTTGATATAATATAATATGCTGTTGGATTTATATGTACATCTAACCAGATGTACATCAACCGATCATAACAGGAATATAAACAAACCTATATACGTACAATGGGGAAAACTTGTGAACAAAATATTAATTATTATTATTTGTTTATTATCATTTATTTCAAGTTACTAAGAGTCATATACATCCACATTTAAAATTACGTTTTATCATATAATTATGTTCTCCATCATCTAGATTTTATGAAATTATTGATGAATAGTATATACATTTTTTAATGTTAAAAGTTGACAAGCAAGCAGGCAGTTTACCTGATGTTAAGTGCATACTGCTGCCCATGGACTGCTACACCCGAGGGTTACAGATGTGTTGACAAACTTTTGTAAATTGGGCTTCGGCTACCTCACTCACCGGACTAAACGCGAAAGCATTTGTCATACTTCCACTTTACGTCGGTCTTGTGTAAGGTTGTGGTACTTTCCCGGATAAGCCTGCCCATTCGTGCAACAGCCAAGGCTGCTGCGTGGCCCTTCCACAGTTAATAAAAATATATAAATATCATCCATCTTCATCTTTGATTGTTTTCAAATGAATTTGTTTGCTCATAAAACATTATTTCATAAGATAACAGATGTTAAGTTAAATTGAGAAAGTGTGTCCTTTTAAATTGTCATAATGTAAAGTTATTTCAATCCGCAGCCTGGTCAGCGTGCTATGATGAAAGCAGCGGGTTCACTTATTACTGGAACCAGAAAACCAATGCAGTGACATGGGAAGCGCCCCCAGAATATTTACTAGCATTGAAAATAGCTCAACAACATTTACATACATCAGGTAATAATCACTTACAGTGGTAATGGTTGCACTGATTCATAGGATTTTCCATGTTCTGCTTTTGTGTCAAATTTTGACATTTACAATGTTATGTTTCAAGCTAACCTTTAATTTTTGACAAGAATCATTTGATGAATTTCGGGACTTTTTCCATAACTAATAATTTTATTTTCATAAGTCAAATATTTAATTACTTAATCACACATATAGTTATTACTTACAAAGTTTACTGATTCCCTTTCTCTGACAACCTGAAAAGCTCGGATATCAATAATGAATGAAAAATGTCTAACTGTAAGCTGTAATCACTTAGTTCCCAGCCTATTATTATATTTTAACTGTTCTTTTTCTTAAATCACATTCTACTTTTTTCTCTCCCTAAAATACAGTACAATTTTGTTATTTTACTTTGAGCATATTAAGTCATAATTCATTTTATATTTTTGGTGCTAATCTATGCTCTTAAGATGATACTTTAATTGAGTAGATAAATTGTCAAATTATATTTAGACAATTATAAATTTTCCTAATTTTAAGTGTATATTTTCAATGCCCATTGGACCTATATAAGTTGCTTTAATTCTGTGAAGTCACAGATCACAGCAGTTGACGCATCATGTTGCAGGAACAACAGAAGTCTCAGCTGAGGAATGGCAACTATATCAGCAGGCGTTGGTGGACAAGCAGAACTCGCAAAACAAGCTGCTAGCCAGAGCTGCCATTGCAAAGATTTCAATGAAACCAGAAAAACCTAGTGCGCCCATAAAAGAGAAAAAGACAAAGATTAACAAAAAGAGGCCTGCAAGTGATGACGAGGAAGAGTAAGTTTTAATAAAACCTATACCTGTGTTATGAAGAATACTTTTCTTTTAAGCTAATAGAGTTTCAATAGACATGACTTGAGATGGAATTTTCTCAATTTAATTATTTTCTCTTCAATAGACTAAGTATGGTAAATAATAGCAATCCTTCTTTAAAATCCATGGCATATAATAATGCTAATAATTTGTATAACTGTTCTATATCTATCTTAATCATATTGTTAAAAAAATATGTAAAGCACACAAAATGTTCCTCGCTTACACATTATACAAATATATGTTATTCTCTTCTGATTAACATTAATACTATGAAAACTACTCTTCTTATAAAGCTTATTATACTAATTTATCGAATTATTATAGTAAAATTAAATAACTACATAAGTCATGCTGAAAATTATCAAAGTTATATTAAGCAATTAACATTATATTCATTATTAGTTTATAAATGTGCAAAGACTTCCACACATATATACATAAACAAAAATTATACCTACACACATATTATATTTTCCCTGCAGTCAAAACCATCGAATAGTCTTTCTGTGTTTATCGATTATACGTACGTAATATTTCTGTACAATTCTCATTTTTTCATCATAACTTCTAAATTGAAAATTGCAAATTTTAGTTTATTTAAATACCTACTAACTGTCAACTGTAAAATACCAACTGAAAACTCTATCTTACATTCACTCCAATAAATAATACATTAAATAACATCGATACTGTATCTGTGTCTGAATCATGTACTTGCGATTTGGATAATTGTATTCCATCTGATATACATCCTCATAATTCTCTAAAAATACTTAATCAAAACATTAGAAGTATAACAAAAAATATGGCTGGTCTTCATACTGTACTAGTCAGATCAAAAGTTGACTGGGACGTCATAATAGTGACTGAATGTTGGTTGCGAGGAAATTGCTATATTGAGGATTTAGCAGGTTACAACTGTTATAAAACTATTTATAACTATACACAAAATGAAGGAGTAGTTGTATATATAAAGACTTCCTATAATGCCGTTGTTGATGAACCAAATTTCAATAACGCAAACTGCCTTAAAATAATAATTGATCCCAATACCGTATTGCTAGCTTTATACCGACCACCTAGCTACAAAGACATAACAAACTTTCTCAACTCCTTAAACTCAACAGTAATGACATTAACAAAATACAATACAATTATAATTGCCGGCGACATAAATATTAACATTACAGAAGATTCTTGTAGTTCTGAAAAAAATCAATACCTAAACTTGATGGCATCCCATGGACTCCTACCAGCCCATACTCTTCCCACTCGACAAAGCGCTTGCCTAGATCATATTATGTTAAGAACAAACCACCCGGCAAAAACAGCAGTTGCTCACTCAGCCCTTACAGATCATGAAACTGTTTTACTATTTATAGGTAATAATATCCCACGTAATAGGGCAGCTAAGTCAGTAGTACATATTGATTATAACCAGCTACACATTGATATTACTCAACTAGATTTTAGCAAAGTATATCAAACTCAAGACGCCGACTTAGCTGCAGAGTTACTAACTGACCTTATACAAAAAGCTATCGAAAATAACACAAAAATTCTAAAAATTCCTAATCGCAAGAAAATCATAAAGCCGTGGATCACTCCAGGACTTTTACGATCTATCAGACACAGAGATAACATGCATAAAAAACTTAAAAACAAACAAGACGATGACACCCTTAAAATATCATATCACAGATACAGAAACTTTTGTAATTCTCTACTAAAAAGAGTAAAAAGGGAATACGAAAAACAAGAAATTAATAAAGCTGGTAAAAATAATAAGCAGATCTGGACAGCCATTAATAAAATTACAAATAGAGCGAAAAAGAAAGACACATTTACGCCTTTACTGTATCTGTCTCCCACACCTGAACAATCTGTTAATTTAATAAATGATTACTTTACAAGCATTGGGAAATTTACCGCTGAAAAGAACTTGCTCTCTAATACCATTAACGCTCCAACAATCACTACCATTAACACTAAAACTATGGTCTTACTTACAACAGATGAGAAAGAGGTTGAGAGATTTATTTTAAGCTTACGTTGTAACTCAGCAGCAGGATGGGACAAAATTTCGTCAAATCTACTCAAAATCCATAAAGATCTTATTGTACCTCCTCTAACGTATGTGTGTAACCTGGCTTTGACAAGTGGTTCCTTTCCAGCAGTCTTTAAAAGATCAGTTGTGCATCCCATCTTTAAGGGAGGAGACAGAAATCGTGTTACTAACTATAGGCCTATTGCGGTCTTACCTGCTTTTTCCAAAATACTAGAGCGAATTATAAACAGTAGACTAAATTTTTTGGAAACTAACAATTTACTTTCCCCAACACAGTACGGATTTAGGGCCGATAGATCAACTGCAGATGCCGTTCATGACCTAACAAACTACATCGTCACTAATATGGATAGAGGGAATAAAGTTTTAGGTATTTTTATAGATATTGCCAAAGCATTTCACACGGTTTCTGCTCCTATACTATTAAAGAAGTTAGAGAACATTGGTATTAGAGGAACTCAATTGGAGTTGTTTAAGAACTATTTATGTGACCGAATACAATTTGTTAAGGTAGGTGAATATACATGTGAGGAGAGGAAATTAAATTACGGAGGACCTCAAGGAAGTGTACTTGGCCCAACACTCTTTCTCATCTACATTAATGACCTAGGTATGCTCTCTCTTCCTAAAGGCAAAATTATCACATTTGCTGATGACACTGTACTATTGTTCAATGGTAGAACCTGGTCAGACGTCTTTAACAATGCTCAAATTGGTTTCAACACCGTTTCGACCTTATTAAGAAATAATATGCTTACACTCAATGCAGAAAAAACTAAGTACATGACTTTCACAATAAAAAATACCACTCAAATTCCTAATGAATACAATATTATTGCACATACTTGCCCCGAACCTCAAAATACCAACTGTTCATGCGCTCACCTTAACAAAGCAGACAATGTTAAATATCTGGGTATACTGTTGGATAACAATTTACGTTTTAAGTCCCATATCAACACCTTAAATGGCAGGCTCCGAAAACTTGTATACATTTTCAAAACATTAAGGCATGTTGTTGATGCGCAATTGTGCAAAAAAATATATTATTCGCTTGCACAATCTCTTCTCACTTACTGTATCACATCTTGGGGTGGTGCGCCCAAGACCATAATTCTTGAACTTGAAAGAACCCAGCGTGCAATTCTCAAAGTATCACATTTTTACCATTTAGTTTTTCGACCACGGAGTTATACCAAAAAGCAAAAGTACTCAAGGTTCGCCAACTATTTTTATTACACACAATCCTCAAACAACATGGACAACTCAAGATATGTCCCAAAAACTTCAAAGAGAGCAGGCGTCATATCCCTGCTGACAGATACGCAAATAAAATAACTAAAAAAATTTCCTGTCGCTTCTTCTGTTTTCTGGGTCGTTATTTATACAACAAAGTAAACAAAAATGTTTCCATTTATACAAAAACAAAATATGTATGTAAAAAGAAAGTGACTGAATGGTTACAAGGTCTAAATTACAATGACACAGAAAAACTCCTATCGTTTCTAATATAATATTCTTCCTTCTAGGCAAATGAAGCAATAGGTACGTAGGTACGCACACGCACACGCACACGCCCACGCACATGCACACGCACCCGCACACGCACACGCACACGCACACGCACACGCACACGCACACGCACACGCACACGCACGCGCATGCACACACACACGCACACACGAACACCAGCACGTATAATAGTGGTTTAAGTGTTAGATTTAATTTTAATTTATATGCATGTTCACTTATTAACAGTAATCTTTATGTTCTCATTAACTCTCATTTTAGAATGGAAATTGTAAATGTCTTTAAAAGATACGTCTTTAAATTGCAAACACATTGTCAAATTTATAAGGAGAGGGGACCTGATGACCCAATAATACAAGCCTTGAGCTTAGTTTTGGTGCATCAGTCTCCCACAATATGAAAATTAATTTGTACATCCACCTTTTGAAATGCTATTGTGATACATACTGTGGTGAGAAAATAAAGAATTATTATTATTATTATTCTACGAAGAGTCCAAGTCACTAGCCTCACTTACTATGTTTTATTGTAAAAATATGATTATTTTACTATATTGCACTTCACTCTTTGTAGATTATAATTATTAATTTAAAAAATATATATTATGTTTTAGAAGTTTGTAACACGGCAATATTTATTTTACTCAACATCTTGGATGTTCTTTTTTATACAGCGTGTCGTTACCAGCGCGACAATAAATGAACACACATATAGAGGATAACTTTTTAAAATTGTATTAAACATTTACTTTCTTTAAACATCAATATTTACAGAGTTATTAAATTTTCCAACATTAGAATGTTTACCAGAAACCCGTCACCAAATAATACCATCAGAAAACAAAAAACCACCCTAAGGCTTAGTCAAAATGATAATAAAAACTACCTTACCACACCCACTGCTTATTCTAATTACATATTAACATGTTTACTTTATTATAAACTCCATATTAAACACCCATTGTAAACTGACTTCAAGGAGAATTGAGCTGATTACTTCATACCACAACTCCGACTCGGAGTCGAATGATGAGGCCGAATCGTCAGTAGTGGCACCGACCCCACCAACCCCAAAAGCCACAGTAAGGACGCCAAAGAACCACAAGAGGCTGAAGCCCAGGGCTCAAGTGGAGTATGGGCCAGCAATGCCCCCAAACCTGGACTACTCCGTGCCCATCGGGCCCGAGTTACCACCAAACAGCCACAACATCACCATACCCAAGCCGCCAGAGATTAAACCCAAACCAGTGGGCGCGGAAAAGCAGGTAATGTACCTTTTTCTGCATATTCTCTTGTAACATTTAAGAAACAAATGCATATCTGTAACTTTCACTTAATACCAAGCTTATAAGATTCCTAAATTTGAAATGTGATAGAAATGTTTGGACAACATTGTGAATTTTTTTTTAATTTGAGAACCCTAAACAAAAGTCATAGTGTCATAGTTGGCTGCGAATTATAAAACTAAACTTTCCAATTAGCTGAGACAACATATACTTGTTTTGACATATTACTTAAACCATTCATAGTGTAATTTGTAGTAACGTACAACAATTGAATTATCTCAAACAAGGTCGCTAAGTGTATATTTAAGTGAAGAGTTTTTTTAATTTAGTTACAAGTCCGGACCAATGATGAGACAGCGCTACTGAACCATGCGCAAAGGATAGCTTTTCAAGTTCACTGGATACAACACAACACCCTCACAGGTGGCTTGTTTCTCATGTCATGCGTTCATCGCGTGCCCTTTGCGTGTTTTGTTTAATAAACCAGACGCGCCACCGGCTCGAGTGTCTCCGCTAACCGTTTCAGTGAATTTGGAAACGCTATCGAGCACGATGATGGTCAAGTTTTCAATCTGAGGTCCGTCTCGTAAGTCATTCGACAATGTGACCAACAGTTGGCCGACGCTGAGTGGATTTGTGCTACATTACAGGATAAGGCCGTCTCCAACGACTGTGAGGACAGCCAGGACGAGGGTCTGCTGCTCATGAGGCTCAAGGACAAAGCGAAGCTCCTCGAGAGGCTCGGAGGGGAGCTGCCGGCTGAGCTGCGGCAGATGTTCAAGGACGACACCGGCTCGGCGGCCGCGTCGCCCAAGTCCGCAGAGGACGCCGCCGCAAAGATCTCCCCCGACATTGACGACCTGCTGCAGGAGATCGAGAAGAAGGAGTTCGCCAAAACAAAACAGGAGACGGAGAAGGAGTTCTCCAAGCCGAAAACGGCCGACTCCAACGAGCGGAGTGATTTTAAGGACCCCAAATCGAACCTGAGCAGCGTGGCGAACTCGCCGCGGAGCGACGGCCACCGGACGCCGCCGCTGGAGGAGCTCAAAGCGCTGTTCCCTATCGTCAAGAGCGTCGCCGAGCCTGTCGCCGGCGCCAAGGTTGTCGCCGAGCCTGTCGCGCTGTTCCCGAGCGCGAACAACGCCGAGCTCGTCGCGGAGAGCAAGCCGCCGAGCCCCGTAAAGCCGGAAAAGAAGAACATATACCTGACGGACGTCGGGGAGAAGAGCGAGAGCAGGAAGAGGCCGCGAATATCCAACTCGGTGCTGCCGTACACCACGCGCTACGCCCACGTGGAGGGCCCGGCCGAGCCGCGCACCGGCCTCGGCTTCGGCACGGACGTAGAGGGCGCGCGGGTGCCGAGCGCAGAGAGCGCCGTGAGCACGGTGAGCTACGGCGGCGGGCTCACGTTCACCAGGGGTGGCACGCTCAACGGCGGTGGGAGCGAGCCAGCCGAGCCCGCCGAGCCAGCCGCGCCGGACGAGCCCGACGAGCCAGCCCTGCTCGAAACCAGGCTCGGCCAGCTGTGCGACATGCAGCCGGCCGTCGTGCCGCAGCTGCAGCGCATGCTGATCGAGCTGCAGGTGTGTATGGATTTTGTTGGCTATTCCTTTAAATTTAGACCGTTTAATTCTTCATTCGCAAGTGATGTACTGGTTTGCAGTAAACTAGTTAGCTTAGTTAAAGGCTATTTAAAAGTGTACAAATAGTTTTAGGTAAAAATATATAATTTTACAGTATTCGTTGATAATTTCCGCGCGGGCTCAGGCACTGTCGATGGCGCTGGTTGGAAACATTTCGTTCCTTTTTCTACAAACTTTAACGATTCACTTCCTCGCGGAGTCCGACGCTACGTGTTCCGGTTCGTGGTCGCCACTCGAAAACCTTTATTCCCCATCGGTCATCAGTTTTTCGAGCGATGTGGCCTGCCCACTGCCACTTCAACCTGGAGATCCGGTTGTAAGGCCTCCCTCTAGGTGGACCGATGACATCATAAAAGTCGCGGACAACCGGTGGATACAAATGGCAAAGAGTCGTTCGTTGTGGCGCTCTAAGGGGGAGGCCTACGTTCAACGGTGGACGTCTTGCGGCTGATGATGATGATGTATTGATTCACCTCCTCGTGGGGTCAGACGCGTGGTCCATTTTCCCACGTATTCGTTCCCGGCAGACGCTGCTGGCCGCGCGGTGCGCCGGGGCGCTGGGCGCCGCGTATGTGCGCGCGTGGGCGCGGCGCGCCTGCTCCGTGCTGGGGCCGCTCGAGGTGGCCGCCACCGCCGCGCCCCCCGGCTGGACCTGCGCCTTCCACAGGTACGCCGCACACGCGCCGCCGCCACACCCCGCCCGCGACGAACAGACACCGAACACCCCGCCCTCCGTCTAGAGCGGACACCGCACACGACAAACAGACACCGAACATCCCGCCCTCCGTCTAGAGCGGACACCGCACACGACAAACAGACACCGAACACCCCGCCCTCCGTCTAGAGCGGACACCGCACACGACAAACAGACACCGAACATCCCGCCCTCCGTCTAGAGCGGACACCGCACACGACAAACAGACACCGAACACCCCGCCCTCCGTCTAGAGCGGACACCGCACACGACAAACAGACACCGAACACCCCCGCCCTCCGTCTAGAGCGGACACCGCACACGACAAACAGACACCGAACACCCCGCCCTCCGTCTAGAGCGGACACCGCACACAAACGACAAACAGACACGAACACCGACAAACAGACCCTCCCTCCGTCTAGAGCGGACACCGCACACGACAAACAGACACCGAACACCCCGCCCTCCGTCTAGAGCGGACACCGCACACGACAAACAGACACCGAACACCCCCGCCCTCCGTCTAGAGCGGACACCGCACACGACAAACAGACACCAAACACCCGCCCTCCGTCTAGAGCGGACACCGCACCGCAAACGACAAACAGACACCGAACATCCCGCCCCCGCCCTCCGTCTAGAGCGGACACCGCACACGACAAACAGACACCGAACACCCCGCCCTCCGTCTAGAGCGGACACCGCACACGACAAAACAGACACCGAACACCCCGCCCTCCGTCTAGAGCGGACACCGCACACGACAAACAGACACCGAACACCCCGCCCTCCGTCTAGAGCGGACACACGACACACAGACACACCCCCTCCCCGCCTCCGTCTAGACACAAACGAAGCCCCGCCCTCCGTCTAGAGCGGACACCGCACACGACAAACAGACACCGAACACCCCGCCCTCCGTCTAGAGCGGACACCGCACACGACAAACAGACACCGAAACGACACACCCCGCCCTCCGTCTAGAGCGGACACCGCACACGACAAACGGACACCGAACACCCCGCCCTCCGTCTAGAGCGGACACCGCACACGACAAACAGACACCGCGGACACCGCACACGACCGAACACCCCGCCCTCCGTCTAGAGCGGACACCGCACACGACAAACAGACACCGAACACCCCGCCCTCCGTCTAGAGCGGACACCGCACACGACAAACAGACACCAAACACGACAAACAGACACCAAACAACCCGCCCTCCGTCTAGAGCGGACACCGCACACGACAAACAGACACCGAACATCCCGCCCTCCGTCTAGAGCGGACACCGCACACGACAAACAGACACCGAACACCCAACCCTCCGTCTAGAGCGGACACCGCACACGACGAACAGACACCGAACACCCCGCCCTTCGTCTAGAGCAGACACAAACAGACATAAAAACCGACAACACTCGTTGACCAGCTCTAAAGGAACCGGTAACGACGTAAAAACTACACACGCCAAACAAACACAAAACACCGAAATCGCTCGTAGAACAGTTCTTAAAACCCACAAAAGATCCACGACAAAACGCCACATAAACGCTCACCATACTATAAAAAACCTCAGTTTAAAAGTCAAAATCAAAATTTCTTCATACAATATGAACTTGTATTATAAGGTCTTATTCTATAAAAAAAAAAAAAAATACCACCGGTTCACTAATTCAGACTTGCAGCAATAAAACTCTGCGGTCTTAATCTCGCTTTTTGTTTTTTTTATTCACAACTAATACCTCACACTAATACCTCACCGCCGAAACCCTACAGGCAAACAGTTGCCATATAAACGGCCTAAAGTAGACACTGTAATCGTTTCGCTATAAAATGACAAGAGGCAACATCACAAATCCACGTCACACTGTTTCCCCTAAAAATAAACAAACGAGACATTTACAACTATGCATCAACAGTAATGAATTCTTCTTGATGCTTCTAAAACCAAAGAAAAATCTACCTTTAAAAGTTCTTAACATACGGAAGACTAAAAAACCCAAATTTACGCGAGTAACTTTAAACACGACATAAGTTGGCATAAAAAATAAAATATGCACTTCAAACCATTCAAAACTTCTTTATCTTAATTTAGTTCATATTTAATTATTTCACACACTTCCTTTATAACTTCATACATAATAGACTATAAATTTTTAATGAATATAAATGGTCTGCAAGTGTGCACGGCAACATTTATTCCTCTCAACAACAAATTTTATTATAAATATTCTTGTTTTATTATTAAAAAGATAAGTACGAATTATACAGGAAGGCTTTTCTAAGTGTATCCATTTTTTATTATTAAATTCTAGACATAAATAATGGTATTTAAAAAATGATAAATATTTAAAATCACCCGTAAGTCATTAATTACATTCATTTAAACTTATCTCAAAAAGTGCGTGATTTATAGGCAACTCATTTATTTTACGCGCGATCATTCACAACTAAAACGCACACAAGTTCGTTTGTGTGCGTGTAACAGTAAAATTTAGATATTTATGAATGACTACCGCGTTGTCAACAAGTTCTGTTTTTTAGGGAATGGAATGGTAATTTTTTTGAAACAAAAAGTTTAATTTTATTTCAATAAACGACTATACTACCGAGTCTGAACCGCCTGTGTAAATTTGGGCACCTTTAAAAAAGCCTCCTTGCATAGAAACACTACGTAAAAACCTTTACCAATTGCGTTATTTTCACGAAATATGGTCCAAAATCCAAATAACTACAATCGCCTCAAAACCATTGATAGCACTCGATATTCGCAACCAATTAATTGTTTTAACGACATTTCTTATGTTTACCGATAACCCATCACCAAATTATATACCAACAGAATACAAGAAACCCCGTATCGGAATTGTCTTAGTTAGTTAAAATCAAGCGATTTCACTTCCACTAGTTATTATAATTACATATTTAAATGTTTATAAATTTATTAATATTGTCACGTTAAAGTTTTGTTACATATTTCTCGAGTGAAGAACAAAACTTTGAGAGAGTACAAGCATCTATTTCCGTTATTATATTATTCCATTATTATTCCACTAACAAGTATCTGTTTCCATTATTGACTTGAGTGACAAGTATGAGGATAGTTTTAAATGGCATATCAAAAACAAGGCAAGCATATAAAATACTGTGATATTTTTACTTATGGATATATGTAATTAATTATCAATCACACAGTTAATATCTTCATAAATTAGCAATAGTTTAACATTCTTTCTATTAAAAAAAAATTACCTCATTAAGTAAATAAATGCCAATGAAAATTGGTTAGTTGATATTTCGTTCTTGCAACACTTTACTGTTCGATTATCTATAATACTTTTGAATTTGGAACTTAAACTGTGTATGTTGAAATATTTATGACGTTTTATGGAGGTGTGCTCGAAGCACGTTTTCACAATAATATTGTATCTGTGACGAATCGACCCACTGTGATATTGTACCTGATAATAAATATTAATAAGAAATAGTCCGAGTTTCCTTCCGTGTTACCATCCTGTCCGTGTCGTGTAAAAATAGGGTAAGCAGGGCACCGCATGATGGCAACATTGCGTCAGCCGGTGGCTAAGAGAAGAGGCGGCTACTGCGCGCCGACCAGCTCGGTAAGAGAAACACTCTATTTGTTAATAGTTCGACTTCAAGATGCTATACTTTGGTCTTTTCCAGAAAGTTGCCAACGTCCGCTCGTGTGCCGTGAAGACCGTGTTGCCATGTCCGCTCGGTGAATTATAAATACCCAGATATTGGGCTGGGCTGGGGTATTATGGCAACACTGGTGTAAGCCGTTTTAAGTAGTCCTAGTGTTAACGCCAGACAGATCAGCGAATCGATACGGGTTTAGTATACATTCATGTTTTATGAACGTCTATATGAATTTGACTCGGCTGAATTTGAATTGTCCGGTGCGGATAGTTCGCCTCCACAAATCGACAGGAGTCAAGGTCATATATTCGATATGCATTGATGATGTAGCAATTTGAGTCAAGCCCTGTGCTCTGGCTGGTTCTTGGCGGTTTTCTTATACTTTTCACTAATTTTTAGTTTCATTGGAGACTGTCTTGTAAACGAAAACTTGATAGTGCACTGTACAATATGAAATTATTGAAGCCTTTACTGTTTTCAAATCCCATTTGAAATTCGACATCGTTCGCTCGTGAATAGACCGGTTTAAAATTGAAGGAAGCACTCGAGATCAATGTAAAATTGAAGGAAAAGAAATCGAAATCACAAAACGAAAACCTAATAGAAACAGTTTACTCAGAACTCGAGAAACCTCTTACCTCCTTATGATCTCGCTCCCATGTTTTTACTCATCTAAGTAAAATGAGTTTAACTACTCATCAATTAATCGTCAGACCGTACAATTTATCACGTGCTCCCCGCGCTGAAGCCGACTGCCATGGCCAGCCAGGGCGGGGTGCCAGGCTGAGGGTCGGGAGGGTCAGCAAAAAAGATACGGATTCGGTCTCTTGTACGTGGGTTGTATGGCGCAGGTCTGTGGGCCGCTACCGCTACCTGCGCGACTCCGACGGCCTGCAGCAGTGGGAGAGGCCCGCGCTTGACAACACCGACATGGACATCTCCACCACGCCGCCGCACCCAGGCATCGAGCACAAGGTTAGAACCCGTGAAGATCTCAGCACCACAACTACCCTTTTGTTACAATCTGTATCCGGCTCGAAGGACCATTTGTTTTTATACAGGGGTTTACAGTTATTGCTTTACATCGACCACAAGGTTCGAATTCGTGAAGCGTCCAACACATACAACCATTTGTTACACTTGTATCTGTAGGTGGCCGATTCAAATCCGGCCCGAAGGACCATTCGTTCGATACAAAGGCTTACGATTACGGCTTGGCATTGGGCACAATTTACGGTTAAGTCTTGGCATCGGCCACAAGGTTCGAACTCACGACTCCGGAGTCATCGCAATTTACAAATAAGCCATCTTTTAATAGTGAAATCTAGCGACATTACATGAGCACTACTGCCAAGCTTCATATAATAACAATAAACTATACTCAGTGTAATAAATCATGCTTAATATTTATTTCAAAATTTAGGAAGCCGATTTGATTCACCGGTGTAGTAATTTAACGAGTGAATTTATTCGATGGGTAGTTGTAATACATGCAAAAAGAGTTTTTGCATATAAGGGGTTTGATTGTTGCGACAAGGTATGAAAAGCTTTCTTGCATGTATGTAGTGCGCGTGCTCATTACATAAGGAAGGATCTCCTTGCACGAATCGCGTCGTGTCCATCGGCATTGCCGCTGTTTTAGCAGGAGGAGGTGGCCAAGAGCCAGAGCCCTCCCCCGGCGCCCCCTCCGCCGGCGCCCCCCTCCCCGCGCGCGGTCACCCCGCCGCCGCCCAAGTGGCCCGAGCCGCCCCCTCCCGGCTGCGACGAGCCCCCGCCGCTGCCGCCGGTAAGTTTCTTTTTTGCCTTTGTTTAATAACATTGCCTGTACTGTAGGATAACATTATCCTGTTTTAAGGATGTTTTACAGACGCAAATTTCACGCGGACAAACACCCAGATCTGAGATATTATCTGTGAGCCACAGTAATAGTTGTCTCGTGTGGGAATCGAACCCACATATCCCGACACCGAAGCTAATACCTTGGCGACTGCACCGCGGAGTCATCGGTACCTACTTTTGTCGATACTTTTGCCTCGTTCTATAGACAATTCGTTAACAAATCCGACAACATTTCGCTTTTCTTCCAAACAGATCTTGAAATAGCTATTCCCTTAGGATTGCATTAGTCCTGTGTTCAAGAACTTCCATACAGAGTCACAGGAATATGTCCCGCGTGGGATTTGAACGGGCTACCGCAGGCGTCGGCAACAACGAACGCACCACTGAGCCATCGGTTATAACCAGCGTTCGATTGTTCTCGATCGGCCAATGTCGCTCTGTCCGTAGGAGCCGGTGGTTGCCAAGGAGATCGGAGACGAGCTGATGTCCTTCTACAACGACATCGCCGAGCTGGAGAAGGGCGGAGCCCCCACGGAGCCCCAGGAGCCCCAGGAGGCGAAGGACAAAGAGCGCGACAAGGACTCCAGGCCGCCCAAGAAGAAGCCCAAGGTATCCCTGCTTTCCAGGGTCTGGATCAGTTTGACTGTAGTGGGCGAGTCGGTCCGGGTGAGTACCGCCACCTCGCAGGAGACCGGCGTGAAGTGGAAGTGTAACACTTCTGCGTTTCGTCTGGTGAGTGAGGTAACATAAGCCCACTTTATTAAAAGGTTATGCTTTATTACGCATCAGCGGGCGACGGTCATCACTTAACATCGGGTGAACCAAAAAGAAAAAGATTCACCTCACAATTTGGCGGCCTCGAACCGCTTCATAGCGATAAGGACGCCAAATTGTGCATCCCATTAATTTGTTTTCTATTGTTAATTTTGTGTGTCCTTTCATTTGTGATGGACAACAAAGTGTTTACTCATTATTTCATTCACAAAATATTTTGAAGATACGTGTCAATCCGCAGTGGGGCCGCGTGGTGGACTATGCCCTTATATCCTCTGTACAGAGGAGGCCTTACTTTACTTTTTTCATTCACGTTGAAAACTTTATGACAATTTGTGATAAGCAATCTCTTTCAGGTGAAGATATCCACCTCGATGGGCCTGAAACACAAGTCCGTGTCGAGCTTGGTGGCAAAGTGGCAGCAGGTGGCAGAGGAGATCAACTCCGACTGATGCTGGAGGGCGCGCATGTTGCACATCTCGTGATCTCGTCACTGCCACGCCCTCTGCAGTCAATTTGAATGAAAAGCAAGTGACAGGCCTGTCACCGAACTCAGCAATCACTGAAGACGTAATAATGTTGACAGAACTGGCCAATCACGTCTTGACTGAAGTTCTTTCTTCTCCGAAAGTCAAACAAGAAATCCATTGAAACCTGTTCGACCCCGAATTTATAACAAACATTGAGCATTTCCTATCATTTAAAGTTTACGTGTAAGATATTACACGTTCGTGATTTTATACGATCTAGTTGTACCCTACCATAAATTAGTGTGTAAATATAGTCTTATTTATATGTTGTCGATTTTAGTCATTTATGTGTAAATTTATTAGTTTCATGTTTCATTTCAATAAAATGTTTTCGATGTGAATCGTGCGTTTCTGTAATAATCATTCTATTGATGGAACGAAGGTTGATGTTTGTGTGTGTGTGTGCGCGTGTATGTCTAAAACACATTTTTAGCCAACTAAACTTTAAATTTACAATAGTTATAGAAATTTCCTAATGTAATATATTATTTCAATGTTTTAACATTTCATAATTGTACTTAACATCCCTACTATCGCCAGTGATGGCTTTAGCTCGATTGTTCAGTAATAAAGTGTTTAGTCTCAATGAAGTTTCCTGTTTCATTTTCTTTTAAGTCGAATGTAAACTGTTTTAAAAACAAGGATAATATATACCTACTTATAATTATTTCTTCAGTATACGCGAACACATTTTTGATATTTTACATTTTTACTTATTCCCACCATAGTCATCTACCAATTGAAGCCATCTTAAAAAGTCTAATCTATAATAAATTGAAGGCATCTTAATAAATCTGATGACTCCGTGACGCAGTTGCCATGGTATCGGCTTCGGCGTCGGGGTCGTGGGTTCGATTCCCACACGGGACCAATATTTGTGTGACCCACAGGTAATTGTTCCGCATCTTGGTGTTTGTCCGCGTAAAATTTATGCTTGTAAAAACGTCCTTACAACACAGGATTATGTAAGGGCGATGTTTTTTTTTTTTTCTTTTAAAGAAAATTAAAAAAAATCTTAAATTATTGAACTTGTAATAACTTTAATGATTTATGCAAAAAACTAAATGTTTTAATAAAATGATTTAAATTTGTTTTACACTAGCTGTGCATCGGCAAGGCGTGTTAGTGTTAAAGTATAGATATTTATAAAAAATGTAACAATGGTTTTTGTTACATTTTTTATAAATATCTATGTCTTATTTTCGGAATCATGGCGCTAAAAGCCTTGAATGACAAAACCTCGATTCATTATTTTCTATCAGTGAAAACCTGTAGTTGGCTGGCTTGGTAATATTTTGTTTTCTATTTATGTTATATTAGCTGTTGGTTTTCCAAAAAATATAAATAAATAAATAAAAAGTCAGGGTTAATTTGAATCATTCATTGGGCTATACACTTCGAATGGCCGCGGTATAGGTACTAACTATATTTTCACATGGTAAAAATGACAATAAAAGCCTTTTTAAACATTTATTAAAACGTTACAATTCAGGCACATGTATAAAACTACGGAAAACCCATAAATATCTACAACTATTTATGTATACGTTAAATTCGATAATCGTTTATGTTCCATTTATTGTCGTACATATAAAACCTTAACTAATATAAAAAGAGCATTGGTTTAGAGTCATATTTGTTACTGAAAATATTGTTTAAAATTAATGATGTTTTCTTAATTATTTATACTACTACGTTTGCATCTGATGCTACTTTTTAAAAGGAAGTTGACTTAATCTGATTGATTCAGTATATCACGTGCCTAATTCGATAACATGGCTAAATACAAGATTAGATATTTTCTTAATTGGTGATTTGTACTAAATAATTAACATACTATTACGATTAATGATAGGTACAGTTATTAAGATTCAACTTAACACAATAAGAGTAAACGATTTAATTTCATAAGTGAGAAATAAAATTACTCTAAGGATAAAATTTTCGTACAGGAATTTGCAATAATTTAGTCTGACTAGCAGACATCTTCTGGCGCTCGAAATTAAAAAAAAAAACATGGTATACTTTTGACATTCGACTCGACTTAATAAAAATGAAACTATATCTGATGGTGATTCGGTCAAGCGTAGACCAGTTTGAATAGTTATTTTGGTCATAAATATTTGTCATAATGCAAATATGTTGCGGAAAAATACCATGCAGTAATTTATATTTCTCACATGCACTTAAACAAATTAATTTGGATAATGGATATAGTAGTTACTATAGGCTATTCCCTAACTAACTTAACTGCTTAAGTGTGTTATTTATTTTAAAACTAACAAAAAATCCAAATTTGTATAATCTACGGCAAAATTAATTCCTTGTAAATAATTATGGTATTCCTGTATGAAGGAAATAAGGTTAACTATTAGATATGTTATAAATTAATATATTATTAATTACGTGGCAATATCCAAATTAATAATATAACCATTATCCAAAATGATAATCCATTTCATATTTACAAAAGCAGTGTTATCATTACAAAACATCGAATCTAAACGAGCGAATCGATCGCTCGAATACATAATTGATGTTCCAACAACATTATACTTAAACTATTGTCATGTCGTATTGTTAACCGTTACTGGAAGAGGTTTAAAGTTCAGTAAAGTTCGAGAATTAGTAATTTTATTACCGCTTCACAATGCACGGCTCGCAGGTGCCGGGCTCGACGTAGGCCGGGTGGCAGTGGGGGCACTTCTCGTTCTCCCCGTAACTGGCCCGGCCGGGCCTGGACACCCTCACCCGGAAGGAGGTCTCGGCGTCCTCCCCGTCGTATCCCGGATGCGGCTGGTCCAGGGGGAACACGTAGTCTGGCACGAAGTACGAGCTGATGTTGTACTCCGTGTTGAGCGGCTCCGGCGGTGCCGGTGTGGTGGTGGAGCGGTCTTCGCTGAACGGCCGCCTCCCTTGCGCCTTCCTTTTATTTGGTGCAGCGGTGGAGTTCGTCCCGTTACTCGGCTTGGGTGGCTCCAAGTCGAACGCCGGCACGGCCCATTTCCACTCGTAGTATATCGGCGGGCCCATCGTGGTCGAGGGTATTTGAGAGTACTCGGTTTTGGGCGGCAGCAGACGCGTTTCGGGCACTGGAACCCGATCGGCGTCGACGGAGGCCGTCGGCTCAGTGGCTTTGCCGGATTTCACGTTGACTGAGTCGAATCTATTGCTCTCGACGACACCTTTGCTATCGCCTTGAAGTTTGTTCGAGTTGTTGCCGAAGTCTTTGTTCCTCCGTGGCGTTCGCTCCTCCTCGGAGCTGACTTGGCCCGCGGGCAGTTGCTGATTTATGTCGACGATTTGGGTCTTCGTCATGGAGGTCTTGTGGGCCTCCGGAAGGTTTGGGTCGAAGCGTTTAATGAAGTTGAACACTGGGTCCTCTTTCCTCTCCCGCCCTGTAACGTCTGACCCTTCGGTGGTCGGAGAGAACGGAGGGCTGAGTTCTCGCGATGGAGGTGGTATGGTTACCATGCTTCTATTGGCATTTTTGTCGGGGTTTGGTACTAAGGCGGGTTCTATCTTCTGCGAGGCCTCGTTGATGCTGTCCTGGCTATGTTTGACATTAGTCCCAGCGCTTTTATCGCTGAACACGTTCGGAGAGCGCCTCCCGCTGGACCAGGAAGTAGGGGACGGGAAGCTCTGTTTGCCGCCATCCAAGTCGTTGTTTTCGACGTCGGCGATAGAGTCGGCGACGCCCACGATGCTGTTGCCTGGGTGGATGGGGAACTGAAAGAGAAGACGAGTAGATAATGGTTTGTGAAGGTATCGTTAGAAAATAAGACATGTTGTTTTAACGGCTGTGTATATGACTTTGATAAAACAAAGAACTAAAAAAGAATTTATTCAAATATTGATATCGAATGAATAGTCAAATTTCATCGTATCTAACAAGCCGTATATTAAAACAAAGTTTTCTGTTGCCATGTAAAAGCCCAGCGTCCATTGGCGGAAATAAAATATCTTAGAATCATATTTAATATGACTCAATTCTCTACCGAGTGCATAGTTTATCAGCAGTGAAAACTGAACGAAACGAGTCGTGATTGACCGGAAATAAAAGACGAATAATCGCTATGCCAAATAAAAAAATAAATGTTTCCAGACTTCTTTTATACAACATTATATAATCACAAATATGCAAAGGTTGCACTATGGGTACTCAGTAACAGATAAATGCAACTACACGTACTTAAATTAAATAAATACATATTATAAATATATAAACACCCAAACACTAGACCCCCTCTGGCGCAATAGACAGTTCCACTATCCACTACGCCATTTGGACCGGAGCCCTCTTTCCTTATGTTATAATCAATTTGATATCCATCACTCGACTGAAGATAATCTACTCGAGGTTATAGGCAAGTAATTGTATTGCTGCAATAAAGGTTATTGGTACGCCGCGACGTAACCAAGGAAATGGGCGGCCATAGCAAGTTCTAAGAAGCAGGTCTGCTTCTTGCGCCAGAGTTGGTTCGGTTCCCACTACAGGAAAAATATTGTGTGGTGATCATAGTGTTTTCCCAGTGTGTGGCTGTTCATACACTATTTTTTTTCTATGTGAAAAGTTGCCGTTTGAAAAGCAGACGGTTCACCTGATGGTAAGTGAATACCGCCGCCCATGGACATCTGCTACACCGGACGGTTACAGATGCATTGACAACCTTTTGAAAGTTGGGCTCCGCCTACCTCACTCTCCAGACGAAACGCGAAAGTATTTGTCATACTTCTACTTTACGCTGGTCTTCCGTGAGGTCGTGTTACTTACCCGGTCGGGCCTGCCCATTTGTGCAACAGCCGAGGCCGCTGCGTGGCCCTACCACCGTAAATGTATACTATGTATTTATTTACAAAAGAAAATTATGTTTAGGTCTGTTTATCAGTTTTCTAGTACCCATAGAAGCGTGCTTAGTTTGGGACTAGAATGTTGTGTAAAAATATATATATGCAAATATTCATTTATATATGTTGTGTATCTGCGAACGTGTTCTTTGCAGCTTCCTAAATGGTATATGGCATTATGGTCCTATGGCTACGATGCTGGGGCGAAGGTCACCTTTGTCTCAGCCTCTCTCAGGCCCTCGTAATAGTTGCTGTTGGGGGGCACAGACAGGATGTCGGGCCGAGGCGTACGAGAACGCATATCCTCATCCGACACGAACGGCTTGTCCCGCTGACCTGGAACGAGAAGGGTAGTCACCATAATTAAATCTCCATATTAATTACTTAAGGTTTTACAATGTATCAATTGCGTAATCTCAAAACAATTGTAAAGGAACGAGTTAAAGTCTATTATAACATTAGTGATTATTTAAATGATAACACACCCTGGAAATTAATTCAGCGATTTTCTTTCGGTTTTTTTCAAACCTGCTCAGCGGTGGTCGTGTTTTGACAATCAATAAGTAAGTGTGATGGTTCTATATTGAATAAACATATAAAAAAAGAAAAAAAACTATTTGCCATTTAGGTTTGGGTGGCCTACGTTCAGCAGTGGAAAACAGACTGAAATGATGAAGATGTTGATTAACCACGTAGCAGGAGTATCAATAGCCACGGGCTCCGCGCCAAAGGAGATGAGTGAGTTTAGTTCAAGGCCCCTACATATTTAAACCTTGGCTTTCTGCCTGAGCCTTAACTTTTCTAGAGAAACTTATTAAGTTCTTTTTTGTTTTTTTTTTTTATGTGAAAAGTTGCCAAACGAGCTGACGGTTCATCTAATGTTAAGTGAATACCGCCGCCCATGAACATCTGCTACACCCCAGGGTTTGCAGATGCGTTGACAACCTTTTTGGAAACTGGGCTCCGGCTACCTCACTCACCAGACGAAACGCGAAAGTATTTCTCATACTTCCACTTTACGCCGGTCTTCTGTGAGGTCGTGGTACTTCTAGCCAGCGAACTTCTAGCTAGCTATCGAGCCTGCTGCCATTCGTGCAACAGCCGAGGCTGCTGCGTGGCTCTACCACCGTTAAAAAAGAGTAAAAAGTAAAAGTATTCTATTATTTTTTTATCACTTTATACGTAACAACAAATAGCAGATCAACGGCTGTTTGAAAGAATTTGCTACGGGCTCCGCGCTTGCTTAATCCGGCGGATAATAAATGTAGTGGTTTGTATTATAAAGTTTATTGCCATAACTAAACTAACTACTTAATTACTTCGCATGTTCGTTGATAAACGCAAAAAATAGGTAACACACACCAAGTTTTGTACTGCCTCGTTTACATTTATTATTTAGGAATCCATAATAAACCTTCTACAACTCAACAAAAATTCATCGCATTCGGTATATCTCTTTTATTATATGGAAACATTAAAAAACAAAAATACATTTACATTTTTATATAGAATACATTAAAAGTATCATAGCTATTATTTACGAGTATCGTATAATTAGTCTCGCTAGCACACAATGGCTGTATGTATAAAAATAGCGTAACTTCGTAACATTTTTGTTTTGTAACAAGCCGCTTTGCGTTTGAAAACGATGTCAAATCGCTTAAAGCGGTAATGGCTTAGTGGTTGGAAGCTGTAGTGAGGCCACTCATTCGAATCTCAGCGATTTTGCTGTATCGCATAAAATCAAATCAAAATCATTTATTCGAAGTAAGATTTTCAAATCATTTTTCGACGTCTTATAATTTGTCTTATATTTTAGTCTGTCATGTCCTGCTGGAGTGTCGGAACACCAAGCCTCTTTGTCATTTAAATAATCATCTAACTTATAATAAGCTTTTTTAAACAGTGTCTGCTTTATTATAAATTTGAACTTTTTGTCCAGTAAATTTATAATATCATCAGGAATTTTGTTGTATCCCTGTTTTCAGGGAATGAAAAATATCATTCGAATATGACGGTGAATTTCGTCCCGAAACAGAAGGCCGCGGTTCGTGTCACGATCATTTACACGCTTATATTTTTTACTTTTTTTTCTATACCAAATCATTGCTTTCTTTATTTTTTAAATTTTTTTTCTTTCCAAAATTTACTCAAAAAACCGAGCAAAGCTCGGTCCTCCAAGTGCTATGTGTAATATTCGCGTAAAATCAAGAAGTCAATATGTGAACCGTAAATTAGTTTAATAAAAAATTAGTACTTATCCTCAAACAAATATATGAGGAATCTGTTTCATTATCTGTTGAGCTTTCACAAAAAGTTTTTTTTTAATCTGATTCAAATTACTCTAATTCAGGTCTTGGTCTAGTCTAACTTACGCCAGCTTTTTTGTACTACAAATTAACAGTTTTTTATGTTAACTAGATAATCCTATCTCTGTCTAGCCCCTGATGGCTAAAGACGTTTAAGCTTGCTTTCATTTCATAAAATAACCTAACTCCACAAGAAGTTAAAACATTACGGATAAAAACACTAATTAATTTAAGATTACCATGCCCTTGTAACTTCTAAACAAATGTACGGGCGCATTCCCGAGTTCACTATCATTGAATGAACTACCTTAATTTATTTTGACGGACAAGTCAATTAGTTTGACGAGCACAAAATGAAGGTAAACTAATTGGTCTATCAATGGTAAGCAATATAAGATGCAGCGGCCGTGATGATTTTTGCGGGTGACGTATTTTAGTTTAGGTAGATAGTGCGTTTGCTTGTACTAGACTAAGAACGCACTCCAGCCGTTTATTACATTGGTGTAGTTCAAGGCAACTCGCAAAATTTGTGGTCAAGTTTACACCTCATGCCTTATTTGACCATCAACTGAATCTGAACAATCTGAACTCCATAAAGCTTGTTGATTTCCAAGAGGTTGTAGGTCTAGCAGATTGGACACAGAACTATCAAAAACCCATAAAGAAGTATCATTGATAATTGAAAGGCGCACAGCGAGCGATGGAAAGAGTTTACGTTTTACGAACTTTACGTTTCTATAAGGGATAAAATCCGAAATGAAGAAATTTGATGGAGAACAAAGCGTCGACAAAGTGTCTAAAATCTGCAAACTGAAGTGGCAGTGGGCCGGCCCTCTGTCGAGTCAGTGATGACAGATGGGGGAGGAAATTCCTAGATTGGAGGGCATGGTTTCGGGCAAGAAGGAAGGTAGGCCGCCCTCGAGATGGCCTGACGAACTCGTAAAGACGGCTTGAAGTGAGGAAGGCGGAGGACCTTATGGTGGGAGGCATTACGAAAGGCCTTGGTGGATTGACATGGGCTGATGACGATGGTGATGATACGGACGGAATAAAATAGTTTCCTCTTTATGCGGAGTATATCTATCGGCGAAGGTAAAGTCACGTATCCCCACTTAGGAATTTTCTTCCTAAATTTAGGAATACAACATTTACAAAACGTGTTTTAGGCGGATGGAATTTAGTGAAATTTAGTGGGTTTTTGAATTGCTTTCGGAGTATTTTTTAACAGTTGGTAACACTGTGATACGTGCGTGACTACGTCAAGCTTCGTTGGACATTAAGCGTCATTAAATGTTACATCGCACTCGTAGCATATATCACGAAAGCTAAATCCATTCCGTAACGATCAAATTACGCTTAATTAACCGCCCCGCCGAGATGACATTTCGCGCGTCTTGGCGTGTGATAACACAAGTTTTCGTAATACGAGTTAATACGTCTCTCACGTCACAACAGGTTCTGTTGAACAACCAATTTAAAACAACAAGAATATACAAATGACAAATGCTTACAAAAGCACTTGTATACAAACATGTGTAAGTACCGTTTGTATATAAATGCCGTTTTCGTCATTCTCAAATACATTAATCATAGAACACGTGATTTTGATAGGCTATGTCATCTGCTAAATAAATTTATGGTATGTATTCCTCTGGAGTTGATTTCAAATTCTATTGTTGCATAGAATTTATTGTTTCTTAACTTTTTTAGTAATATAGAGTTTGGAAATCATCATTATCATCACCCCCCTGCCCACCTAGATGGGGTCGGCACGACATGTGACATGTTCTACGTAGTTTTGGCTAATTGTTTTAAGACCGACCGCCTTCCGTCACCAAACCTTCATGGGAACAAACACCCAGATCCGGAACAATTATCTGTGCGTCACACATATACGGGTACCGTGTGGGAATCGTACCCACGACCCTCGCCGGGTACAATAGCTTAGCGACTGCGCCAGCGAGTTTTAGTTCTTAAATATAAAGCTATATGTCTCTATAATTCAATAATATAAATAATGAACCAACAAAACCCGTCGGACGGTATCAGTTATCTGGCATTCAATTATAAATAAAATTAATATTTTAGGACAATTTATTACACAACGTTCCCTAGTCCCAAAACTAAGCAGTGCTTGTACTATGGGTACTAGATAATTGATAAACATAATCAAACACACTTCTTCTTTTGTAAATAAATACATATTATACATATGTAAACACCCAAACACAGGAAAAACACTATGCTCATCACAAAGTATTTGTCCAGTAGTGGGGATTGAATCCACACCCTCTGGCGCAACAGGCAGGTACACTACCGACTACGCCAATCGATTCGTCAAATTTTTACACAAAACTTTACATTAATTGACGTAAGTAAGATAATTCAATATAAACTAATAATAATTTACACATATATACATTCATAAATCTATTCACATCAATACTCGTAGGAATCAATGATTCCTAAGCCTACGCTAAAGTGATTGTTTCACATCAGAAGTTTAAACAGATGTTATTTAAGGTGGACTTCCGCTGGGTGATAATATACGCTCTTGCTTAGTATGAAACAACATCCATGTGCTAGCGGATGTGAGAAACGGCTCACGTCTTCGGTAAAAATATAAGAAACAGTATCATTTTAAGCCAAATCAAATCAAAAATCATCGAAATGAGATAGTCATTTGTACTACCACCGTTTCAAAATGAGCATCATTTCATCTAACCGAGAAAAAACAGGCGGAAGAAACTCCGTATGTATCCCATTTTTTGTTTTAATATTTTTTTCCTCAACACATTAAAGTATTACATATTATTTTTTTAGAAATAGCTTCGGAGTGATCAACTCATTCCCAGGGGATATTATCATCAATGTATTCGTTTATATTTTATTTAGTATTAGATACTTCAAGTTCAGTTCTTCTATGAGGATGGCTTTGTAAAATTTAAACAAGCGAGACAGAAATACATCGTAAATCCCCCTTTAAAGTATTTAAATAATCTTGTAATAACGAACAACAACCGACGACGCTAAGTGTTATTAGAAATGAAATAAAAATAATGAAGATGATAGATACGTCGAGATTTTGTACAATGACAAAACACTTAACGGCTAATGCCTCCGGGTTCCCACTAAAAAGCACAGATTCGAATTCTGGCAAAACATTTTCATCAATTTATCTAAACATTTTTAATTTTCAGAGACTGGTACTAAGAAGCAGAAATAATTACAAATAACTCTGCCTTGCTCTCGTTTACATGAGTTTGATTCGACTATAGTAATCGCTGTAAGAAACCAATAAAGGGCTTTACACGCAAAATCTCTACGGTGCGATTTAAAAAATATTATGGCATGTGTTCTTCAGTTCAATTTCTTAGAGAAAAGCTTAAAGAGAAGCTTACTTATTGATTATCGAAACACGACTATTAATTATTTAATACTATGTAGGTATATATTTATGTTTGTATATGTGTTTATATGTATATTATGTACTGTATATATACTGTTTATATAAATATTAGTATATGTGTATATTTATATGTAATATTTTATATAAATTCATATTATTCACTACTTCTCACGTGGCTCTTTCGCACCACCTTGTTCTCTCTACTTATTTGTCGGTTGACTGGTAGAGACAACCTAATGGTGTTAAGTCCGCCATTGTACGTTATATATGCAAAAAAAAGTTTTTAAATAAATAAACTACCGGCTCAGAAAAGAACCGGTAATTGTGTTTGATGAATCCACTCATTGAAGATCTCTTAACGAAAGCGCTCCTTATGCCGACGCCAGCCAAGGTCAGCGCTCGCGTTAACCCATTTACACACGACCTCAGAGCTTCCGAAGATGAAAGTGAAAGCTATACTCGTCGGCAGCTTTACCTCAGCGGCTTAAACGCTATTACGAAATCGTCTGGTCACTCACCCGATAAAACATTGAATTGTACAACTTCAGGTCTAAGCACACCGTTTAACTTCGCACCTATTGATTATTTCGTAATCTGGACACGTGTTTGGCAATCCAACTATGATGGGGCTATGTAGGCCTAAATAAACAAGTTGTACGGATGACTTCCGTTACGCCTTTTGTCTTTCAGTGAAGTCATCGTTTTTTGGGACGTAAAAGTAAAGGGGTTGGTCGCTTCAGTCTTTGCTGCTGCACGAATGGGCAGATCCGGTCCTCACAGAAGACCGGCGTGAAGTGGAAGTGTTTTATTTTTATTCTGTTTCGTCTGGTGGGTGAGGAAGCTGGGACGCTCTTCGTTAAAAGTGGCAATGTATCTGAAACACTACTGGTGTTACAGATATCCATGGGTGAAGGTTATCACTTAATATAAGGCGAACCGCCATCTCGCTTGCTACAGACTTCTCACATAAAAAAAAATAAATGTTCAATAAAAAGGATATTTATCCAATTTGCATGTTCGCCAAATGCATTAGCTTGGGATCCTGTAAATTATAAAATTAAATCGCAAGCCCTCAAGATATTATAAGCCAATTTCTCATAGATTGGAATAAATTTAGTAATCTTAATTTAAGTAGACTACCGTTGAGAACATTGATTAAAATAATGTCGTTTTATCTTATTGAATATTTTCAATAGACTAGTGTTTGAAGTTATAGTATTAAGCTAATTGAGACAGTTCTGTAACCTGAATTTAGAAATTCCGATCCACTAAGTTCCTGTCAGTTATTAAAAATACTTTTCACTAACGACGCACCCTATATTTATAATATAGTCACACCCAGGAGTCTTCATGCAAGATTTTAGGACGCTCAGATTCGTCGTATATCGTCTCACAACAGGTGTATAGGTTTGTTACCTTACCCAGTACTAATTCTACAATTTTCAGTTTGCTTTTTCGATGAAAAAAATCGAGAACGTAACGTTGCCAAGATTCCCAAAGCGGCCTTACCTATCAGCAGGTTGGCGTCGTAATCGCTCTCGGACTTGGAGCAGTTGACCATGTACCAGTGGTCGCAGACCAGCATCCGCTGCTGGAAGAGCGTGGTGTTGGGGCACGAGTAGCTGAACTGACGCCCCAGCCCGTCGCACATGTGGTACACCTGGGGCAGAGAGAAGAGTTGAGGTGAGCGAGAGGGAAATGACGCTGAGCGCTGTAGGTAAAATTAGTAATGTCTGTTTTTAACCGACTTAAAAAAGAAGGAGGTTTCTCGATTCGACCGTATATTTTTTTATTTTTTCTATTTGTGTTCGCGTATAACTTCGTCATTTATGAATCGATTTTAATGATTCTTTTTTTGTTGGGAAGGAGTTATCCCAAGGGTGGTACCATGATAAGAAAACCCGGATCTGATAATGGCATCTCGGAGAAATCGAGCGCAATCCTCAAATGTTATAAGTATTAACAATGTTTTTTAGTTTCCGGTTTGAAGTCGGTTTTCTTTTTTTGTTAAAAATTATAACTTATTGAAGTTATGGAATTAAGACCTATGTTAATGTGCGGGAAATCAATGGATGGCTCAAGATTGTTCTTAGTGGCAATATGTAGGGGAGGCCTGTGCCCAGCAGTTGACTCTAATACCCTAAAAGAATGAATGACAGATTTTTTATTTATAGTCTGTAATTAAAAAGGAACTTTAATGTAAGTCTTAATTAATGAATTGTTGAAAAATGTTTGAATTCTTCGTCTTCTGAGTAATAACACTCAAGACGAGCGAAGGGTCGAAGGCTTCACGGTGCGAAATAATCTGTTTTCAAACTTTTAATATTCATATTTAAGTTACTCAGCAGCTGACCCTATCAACTCAGCATTGCGACGCCCACATTTTCTTTACATAGTGCTATTTTTTGTTGACTGTTATAGTTTTCATTATTTTTCTTTCTTATTCTCTAATATTAATTGTACAAATTTTCTTTTTAAATTAAGATACATTGTTGATTGTCTATTATTTGCCAATGTTGTTTTTTGGTTTGCTTAGTTGGTTATTATCATTATTAAGCATTAATTTCATATCGTTTTAACATTTTTATTTCGCTTTTACTTGTTTCTGTTTTAAAACGCTCCGCATTCCATTGGGTTTCATTCCATTCCGATCTCAGCTACTAATATAGTAAACTCTACAATTATCAACTCGAATGTAAAAGCAGTGACAAACTACTCTGAGAAGGGGGAAGGCGAAATAAACGTGTTTCGAGAAATAGACGTATTTGCACTTCGTATAGTAAATATATCTCTGATAAATAATAAAGTACAAGCCTGCCTAGCTAGTAATACTAATATGTAAATATAATATGTATTGAAGTTGGCATCCGTTTTTTGCAAATTCCATAAATTTACGTAAATAATTACGAACCGCAAATATCAACATACACTACCAACCAATAACCAACTAATCAAAACGGAATGAATGTATAATGAAACATCGTAACCACGTTATTGATGACCGGAGGTGACAGGATCAAGAATTGATAAAAAGGTCCGTAATTACGAGATATAATCACGGCCGCAAATGTCATTTGTCGGACGTTCGATGTCTACAAGGATTGATTTCGTATTGAGAGACTGGTGACTGATTTTATTTAATCTAATTGGAAATTCCAGTACGAAGTAAAATAAAAAAAAACGGACCAAGTGCGAGTCGGACTCGCGCACAAAGGGTTCTGTACCATTATCTATAAAAACGACAAAAAATCTTATCTGTTGTATGGGAGCCCCGTTTAAATATTATTTTATTCTGATTGTATTTGCTGTTCAAACGGCATCAGAAATACGAGTACATCATAAGTGAACATTAAAATCAACTATCTAACTATCACGGTTCATAAGATACAGCCTTGCGATAGTCGGACACACAGACAGACAACGAAGTCCTAGTAATAGGGTCCCGTTTAGCCGTTTGGGCACGGAACCCTAAAAAACGAAATAAACTGTTCTACCAATTTTATCATTATCAGATATTTTTGTAGTAAAACTTTTTTAGACGCGACTAATGGGTATATTCTTAAGTCTACCAATTGGCAATAAGGTCGTGTGGTGGACAATGCCCGAATACGTAGAGGCCTTTGCCCAGCAGTGGGACATACAAAGGACTGTACTTTTACAATATTTATGGTTCACGCCAGTGTCTGAAGACTTATTCGGCGGAATTAGTAGCTCATTTCCAGTTTATCACATAAAAAAAAGCTACGAATCCGCCCGCATGGTAAATTACTGGCCAGTTTTTCAGTAAAATGAAAAAAAATGTAAAGTTAAGTATCAGCCTATATATTTCCCACTACACAGTGATCATATGCATCAGGACATAGTCCACCAGGCGGATTATCCGACATCACATATATTCAAAATATTTTTTACTCCCTTCTTCTCTTCTAGTTTTCTCACAATATTTTCCTTCACCGCTGAGCACGAGATAAGCACTTAAAATTGCCAATTTCATTGGTGCCAGCACCGGGGATCGAACTCAGGTTGCTCGAGTATATCGAATTACAAGCGAGCGCCCGGACACTGAGCTATCACGGCGCAAAATTAATATGTGTCCATGTAACCGAGTACTTTTGACTTCAATTACTTTGGCATTGTACAGTCCGAGAGCCTTCCGTTTACGAATAGGAAGTTTAAAAGCATGTAATAACATAATAATGATACCATCATTATAATACCTCTAAAGTTAACTATCATTGTTACATTCCTATACGATATAAGTTGAGCGTTGTATCCATTCAAAGTAAATTATGCCGCATTATCAACGCCATATTTGTTATAGGAAGTGATGACCTGATTTCCGTTTAACTTATAATGATTAAAGTACATCAATCGGTGCGCTGCCTTTGAATTGTGATGAATCAGCTTCGACCCTGGAACGTTAAGCGTCTATTTCGATTATTAGAAACATCAATTAATATCATCAATTACTTTTGAAAGGTTTTAGTCCTAGGCTTAACCCCGCGGCTGGTGACAAGAGAATTACTTGCAACTATTCAGCGAGGAAATTCAGCTAGCGTTCTTGAAACCATGCCGCAAAGACAAGGTTTATTGGATACTATGTAAGTTAGATAGATTTAATGTGGTAAATATTTATAAAAGTATATAAAATTTTTATTGTAAAAAAAAATATTTCAAATTTTACCGATCCCGATTAATCTGTAATGCAGTCTAATTAAACATCAATCATATTTTCGTGATATTATAAATAAAAATATTACTACTCGCTTGCTGTGACGCGTCCGTTGCCTACGGACCAAAGAGTACTTTTATATATCTGAAATCTGCTACGGACGCCCAGGGCCGACTGAAAATCAGCGCCGCCATTTTGCGCGGCATATGCTGAGGCGGTCCTTACCGTCACTACTTTAAAAATAAATACCTTTTATTTTTGTTTTACTTTCACTATTATTTTTTTAATTCATTATTTTGTTTTTTTATTTTTTTTTAAACAGTTACAACAACTAAATGTAACATAATTGTGTACAGATTAAGTTACGGATTAAATGTCTTAAGTATGTCTTATGTCTTATGATATTTATGACCGGATTACAACAGGCTCGAAAACGTAACCAAACAGTACTATTATTATATGTTTAAAAATAATATTTTTTACCATGTATAACACGGTTTCTCGAATAAAATTTCCGAGAATATAATTTGTGTTCACACTTAGACGTTTTGGCTTTTAGGACGCAGAAGAAAGCAGGAATTTATTACATCGAACCTACCCGAGTTTTTCTAGATACAATTTGTTTGTTTTTTTTTATCGTGTCATAAAACATGTTTTTTTTTTTAAATAACTGAACGGCAAATGGTTAGGAATAATGTCAAAAGGAATGGCTGAATCCGCTGTAATATTATTTTTCGAGCAGAGAAAGAAAGAGACTGATTAATACATAAACCATATACTTATTGTTCTAAAGTGGAGAACAATCTATATTACTTTCTGCAGTTGTAACTCAATATGTAATTTATGCTGTGGTAGGGCCACGCAGCAGCCTCGGCTGTTGCACGATTGGGCAGGCTCGTCCGGGTAAGTACCACGACCTCACTGAAGTCCGGCGTAAAGTGGAAGTGTACTTTCGCGTTTCGTCTGGTGAGTGAGGTGGCCGGGGCCCAATTTCCAAAAAGGTTGTTATCGCATCTGCAACCATCGGGTGTAGCAGATGTTCATGGGAGGCGGTATTCACTTAACATCAGGTGATCCGTTTGGCAACTTTTCACATAAAAAAAATACGTTTTTCGATGAGAAAATGTGAAATAGTATGGACAGGATTAGTATTTATCTCATTTTTCCGCTTTCGGTTAAAAGAAGTGAGTGTTTCTCTCGTTTATGATGACTATTTACAGCCACAACCTTGACAACCAAGCGACGGTCTGTCCTCGAATTTTGAAAACAATAAGGTCTTAGCTTGAAACAATTAGTTACATCTGTCGTGATTGGCCCTGCACGCTGGCCACGAACTGCTAGTCTAATCGCATTGAACCTAAAACTTTAATAAATCATTTACTAAATTTTTCTAAAGAGCCTTGATAGCTCATTTTCCGTGCTTCCTATTAATTGAATATACTTGAGAAACCTGAGTTTGATCCCCGGTGCATGCACCAATGAAATTGTTATTTTTTCTGACTTATCACGTGCTCCACGGTGAAAGAAAACATCGTGAGAAATCTGCATAGTTTCTCTCTCGCTATTTCGAAACAATAATAAAAGAAACAGCGTGGTGGACTATGTCTCTACAGAGGAGGCCTTTGCCCAGCAGTTGGGCATATAGGCTGTCGCTTTACTTTACCCGATTGGCGTAATGGGTAGTGACCCTGCCTCTTGCGCCAGAGGGTGTGGGTTCGATCTGCACTACTGGAAAAATGTTGGGTAATGAACATAGTGTTTTTCAAGTTGATATAGAGTCAGATACATAGAGTCTGAGTGTTTGTATATGTATAATATGTATTTGGTTACAAAAGAAAAGTGTGTTCAAGTATGTTTATCAGTTATCTAGTACCCATAGTACAAGCGTTGCTTAGTTTGGGACTAGAGAACGTTGTGTGAAAATGTGTCCTAAAAACATTTATGTTTTAACTATGTTTTTCTAACTATGACTATGTCTTTACTATCAT